ACACCCTACATGGCTATATCTAGCACCCTACATGGCTATATCTACACCCTACATGGCTATATCTACCACCCTACATGGCTATATCTAGCACCCTACATGATTATATCCACCATCCTACATGGCCTTATCTACCACCCTACATGGCTATACCTACCACCCTACATGGCTGTGTCTACCACCTTACATGCCTATATCTACCACCCTACATTGCTATTTCTACCACCCTACATGGCTATATCTACCACCCTACATGGCTATATCTACCACCCTACATTGCTATTTCTGCCACTCTAAAAAAAAATAAAAACTTCGATGCGGGACATTATGGCTATGTCATAACTTACAATAAGTGAAATCGGAAGAATGTTACAGTTTAGTCCTGGTATACATACATCAAGGTATTCAAGTTCTCGAATAACTATACCTAGCCAGTTGTATGTACAGTAAAAGCTGGTCAGCACGAATTCCACGAGACCGGTCATCGAATCTGTGTTAAAAAATCATGCTCACCAATAATTACTAATAATATAACATCTCTGGATGGACTAACATGTTGTTCCTGTTAACCGAGTGTTCTTCTTAAGCAGGTTCGTTTTAACAAAGTTTTCTATAATACGAAGCAACTTAATAGAATTTTTTGTTTTAGAAATGCATTGTTACACAATATTTTGTCCTAATTTTCAACACACTGTATATTATTTTTAATAAATATTATTCTCTTGTTTGTGTGAACACTTAGACAAATAACATTTACACACACACACACAAACATATATATATATACACACACATACACACACACACACATATATATATATATATATATATATATATATATATATATATATATATATATATATATATATATATGCACTGTGATTTTGTAAGGCTAAGTCGATGCGAACGCTTCGTTATGCCGGGGTACCGGGTTCGATCCCAGCTGCGGACCATACGCCTTGCGTTGGTTTCGACAGTGGTATCAGGGAGCCGACCGTCTAGGAAGCAATGCCAAACTACTGGACGTAAATTTGTCTAGTGAAACCACACAACAGCCAGGGGCTGATGGGGTTGATTCTGCCACGTCCTGTAAAGGCTACGGAACTAACCTATCTGAGATCTGAGAAAGGTACCTACAGGCGGCCTAGTACCACACAGAAAGTACTGTGAAATGAAACATAAGAAAATAAAGAGATGTATTTTGCTATATTTGTAGTTAGAAAACAGAGGTTTTGAGGAAAAACATCTCAGAAGATTGTTGCGGTTCACATAGTAAGAAAAAAATCAACAATTCTAGATTACAACAAATGGCAGACTTATAAATAAATTATTAATAAAAAAAAAAAAAAAAAAAAAAAGATGGCGGTGGATTGGACACGTCCTCAGAATGCAGAAAGAGAGACGGCCGAGACAGGAAATCCAATAGAAAGCACAAGGACAGCGAGAAAGAGGCAGGCCCAGAGGCACTTGGAGACGAAACTTTGCGGCCGAACCCAAAGCTACGTGAAGGACAAGACTGGAGTTATGGAGGATAGCTCAGGATAGAACTGAGTGGCGACAGTTTGTCTCTGCCTTACATGCCTCTGGGGATTGATTGATTGTAGTTTAAAGAGGGAGGATAGTTTTGGTTGGTGCCTTTTAGTGATTGTTCAGAGACTTGGTATTTAAACGTCGGTGACATTATTGACTTTCGATGCTCTGCTAGGTAGTCTACGTCACTGCAACGTTCCCGTACCTCATTCTCGTCATATTTTTCATACGAGGCATTACCTTGGATGGCGCCATCGACGGACTGACGCATATGTTTACTCCCAAGGTTAGTGCTTCTCGTAAATATAGAAGTCAGTGTAATGTCGTTGTTTCTACCGCCAGTGACCGACGACTTTTGCAAATAATTGTACTCCCTACTATTTCCATAGTTTGATTGTCTAAAGATAGACAGATCCAATGAATAGTTTGTCATTTAGCAACCAGATAGCGGACAATAGCTGTAGCAAGGAAAAACATACAGCCTCCCGAATACTGACATTTTAGTGAAGAATGACAAAAATGTACATAGCTTAGTGCAGACATGAACATAGCCTTCTATATCGTGTACTGGTAATCAATGAAATCGCCTAGGCAGAAATGTTTTTAGAATGCATACGTACACGCAGTAGTTTGCAATTTTTTTCCCCCGTGAGGTCAGTGTCCATAATGGCCAGGTTGTTTTATAGTGCGTTTCAAGAGTCGTGCCCTCACACTTAAGCAGATATCTCGACAACTCCTGTACCGGTCAGCTCGCAGTTTTGAATGTAGCCGTAGATTTCCAACGTCCTTAGGATTTTATAATAGCACATGTTCTGCTATTTTCTTAAAGCAGTGAATTTCTTTGATCTTTTTAGCACTAATCATTTGTGTAACCGTACAAAAAATAGAATATACGGCAATAGACACAATTTGTTTACTTCTTATGATGGCACGGTCGAACGGGGCCATAGCTGTCTTTATTTAAACTGGGATGGGGGGGGGGGGAGGGATTGCCCATGGGTGATAGTGAGAGCCTCCCTTGAAGTTATGCGCATAATATAACACAGGCACCGGTCGGGGAAAGGAAAAGTAGAAGACGGGAAAAAAATGTTAACTCTTTGTACCAGTTTCAGTGTTTCATAACACATTAAATTCGTAGTGATTACTTAATTAAAAAAAAAAAAAAAATAAAGACATTAGAGGCTATTACCAACCAGGCAAACTGGTTTATTTAAAATTACTTGATATGTTATTCTTGGCCTTTGTCCTAATGTTACCTTTACCACATTATCCACTCTATGTGAAAGGGCAGGGGTGAATTGTATGAATTTCATATTATAATGTCAGCGCAGAGACAAACCCAGTAGCGGCAGAGAAGAGACATCAACTCTCCCTTAGGTTGTGCAGACTCATAAAATTTGAGCGAACTCAATGAAAAAACTGCTATATTACCCGACATATATGCTCTCCGAATATTCGTATCCTCCATACATGATAGCCTCATATATGAAACAATAATAATGAAAGAAAAGCTAGAACAGAACTAATCCCACTGTGGTTACAGCCCACCGATGTATCAATGGAATTGAAAAGGCCGATGAGCTCGTAAAATTTGCAAGGCACCACATGCAGCCCCACTCGTCTTAAAGATTAAAATCACCAACAGCTTCTGAAAACATTCTATGAAGTTTAACTGGGCATAAGATGAGGACAAATGCAGAAAGTATAACAGCATGCCAAACATACTTGGCAGAAACAAAAAGATAATAATTTTCAGACACTGAAAGAGACCTCAAGCGGAGGGCACCACCTCGACCTGATCGTCTCACTGACACTGCTACTAGTTGTTTTCTTCCAAGGGATCTTTAGACGCCAGTGGCACATTGGGCATATGAGTCTAGACTCTGGATGGGTGATGTGGTCAACTTTACTTATTACTACTAGACCTGGTACTTACTTAAGGTTGGGGTCAACCTGGAAACCAAAGTCAAGTCTGAAGAACAATCCGGCTCCACGAGGGTCTGAACCCTTCGGATCCACAGTCGAGTGTCAAGAAGCTACATAACGGCGGATGCCTGTGTTTATGTTGCACCAAAACAAATTACGGAACAAGACTGATCTGAAGATTGTCAAGACGGTTCCAGTCTGAGGGGGAAAATCTGGCCCACATCCGACACCCTGCAAAATGAGAGCAGAAGAGAAGCAAAGAGATACGCCCCTTGATGGCTTGGCCACAGGCATATGGTGGGACGAGCAGTATCCGTGATACCGCAGTTCATGTACGCTAACGAATCATACTTGCCTGAGCAGATCGGTAGCACAAAATTGTGATTATAATTTTTATAGCTAGAAAAGTTAAAAGGGGAGGGGTGGGTGGGAACTGTGCGACAGGGGGGGGGGGGGGGATGAGCCAAAGCGGTGTCGAAAACACGGCCTAATAAGCACAAAGATACAAAGTTTCACATTATATTATGCCATCTAAATATTCGTTTCAAAGAAATCAAGAAATTTCACAGTCAGAATAACAAATAGTTTAAATGTAATACGAGACAGTATATGTTGGCTGAAAAGGGGAAGAGAAATACCAAAAAAAAAAATAAATAAATAAATAACACCAGAGATGTAAACACATTTTATGTTATCACTGTTTGTTCACAGAGGGTGTCTAGCGGTGTCTAATTCATTGTATGTTATTCTATTAACTGTATGTTTTTGTTCACATCAAATTTACAAGTGTCTTTTTTTTAGACAGTTTATGTTGTTTGGCACGGATATGTCCTCATTGAGGTGTAGTGTCGATTGTGTCCTTCAGCGGACTTGTTTGTATTCGTATGTTGTTATAATAAACGTATTACACGGTAGAACGAAGTCATGTCGCACCTGGGCGCTAAAGTAGGTAAAGTCTGAAGTCGTTATTTCTCCTAGGATCTGAACCTATCATGTTTATAACATTTACATTTCTGTATTTTCCGATCTCCTCTATAATATCACGTTGATAACAACACTAGAGAGGCCAGATTGCGGGTGTGTAGCAAAACCCAGATCCTAAACTTCCTTCGAACTTAAAAATTTTTTAATAATGGACCATATCAGCGCTGTCTGTACCACTTCTGGTATCTTGTCATAAGTTAGGGGTTGGAAACTTTAAATAGTGTTGGACTAAATTATTGTTGCAATGTCGTTAAAAGTGCCAACCTAGTCCATCACAAATTTTACTGACAATTATTGAAACAAGATATTTAGATTAAAAAAAATATATCCGATTCCATTTTACTTTGACAATGAGGCCATGTATTGTATCCGGTGAGCTAAACGAACTTGTCAAAATAAATAGGTCTACATGACACACTTGTTAAGCATGTCGTGTGTGGCTTATGCATTTTTTAATTGTTACTCGGTTTGCCTCCCACCACAGATGGATCAGCTGATGAACATCCAATGCTGGTTGGATGCCGCCGCTCAGATCTTCTTCTCATTTGGACTTGCTTTTGGAGGTCTGATTGCCTTCTCCAGCTACAACCCGATGAAGAACAATGTGGAGAGAGATACCATATTTATCGGCTTCACCAACTGGTGTACTGGCATATTTGCTTGTGCAGTCATTTTTTCTGTGATAGGGTTCAAGGCCACAGTGATGTACCGTCATTGCATTGATCAGTAAGTTTCACACCCTGACACCCCTGTAACCGATAGCGTGTGAAAGGTCATGAAGCATGAATGAACGGCCTATCATGGTGTACTTGGGGCGGAACGTGTAACTATCAATCATTTATTATTTATTTTGTTCAGTAGAACACTTTGAGAGTGCATTTATGATGCTTACATTTGCTACACATGTGTTTTGCTGGGATATAATTGTTATTTATGATTCTCATATTTAAAATATCTGCTGTAGACCAGGGGTGTCGGAATTCGAAAGTTCTGACACATTTAGCACCCTCTAAAAATATTTTAAGGTACTCAAGCCACTCCAACAAAAGTGTAAGAGGGTTAACCTCTACCCGTAACCATTATATATATATGATATTATTCGAATGTTGAATTAAGAATCGACATCATAACACTTGGGACACTATATTTCGAATTAATTTCTAATTTTATTGATTTGTTATTCAGGACATAATAATAAAACTACTTATTACTATTAATTATTACCAGGTGCTTAAACAAGGATTATACTCTTCTCCCTCCCCCCTTTTCTCCCCCTTTCCGCTTAGAAAGCTTTAAGGAAACGGGGGAACTGAACACGCGCCTCTCATGTTTTCTTTGTGTAGCTCCCATCCTGTCTTCTTTGTAAACCACTGGAGTACATACATAAATTATCCTCAGACTGGCTATTTTTGTGGCAGATCTCTATTGGAGTATATCTATTGTTCTTAGGTTTAATGTTTCAGTGCATATTACTGTTAATATGTGTTTATTTGTCCTACATGTCCTATTCTTGCTGTAGATCTCTCACTGAGTTTTATTATATGTAAACTAATCATTATTACTTATAAGATACTATTGCTGTACTGAATTATTGGATTAATTATTGGATCTGATGGTCTGAAACCTATTTTAGGCAAGAACTATAGACAGATAAAGAAGAAGGGATAATCATTACACGCCACCATAGGAAATACGTTGTTATTTCAAGGACATCAAAGCTAATTTATGTTGTATACAACATCATCACCATGTTGAAGGATCATTTCTTTCGTTTCTTGTGCACAAGCTTCTGTTGCTAAATCAAGATTTGTAGAAATCACGTGGGCCTCAATCTGACAGTACACTTCTTTGTCTCTTTCTAGACTGGGTCGACCCGAAACCTTAACTGGTCATAAAATCCTTCCCCGATAGCGATTCAAACCAGGGACGTTCAGACTGGGCAAGCCTCAGGTCAATTAGATTACGAGGCTGACTCACTACTACATTTCATGTATATAGGCACTGCTTTAACACGGCTCCTTTACCACTACATTTCATGTATTTAGGCACTGCTCTAACACGGCTCTCTCACCACTAGGTGTCATGTATATAGGCACTGCTCTAACACGGCTCTCTCACCACTAGGTGTCATGTATATAGGCACTGCTCTAACACGGCTCTCTCACCACTAGGTGTCAGTATATAGACACTGCTCTAACACGGCTCTCTCACCACTAGGTGTCATGTATATAGGCACTGCTCTAACACGGCTCTCTCACCACTAGGTGTCATGTATATAGGCACTGCTCTAACACGGCTCTCTCACCACTAGGTGTCAGTATATAGGCACTGCTCTAACACGGCTCTCTCACCACTAGGTGTCATGTACGAAGGCACTGCTCTAACTCGGCTCTCTCACCACCGCGTGTCATGTATATAGGCACTGCTCTAACTCGGCTCTCTCACCACCGCGTGTCATGTGTATAGGCACTGCTCTAACTCGGCTCTCTCACCACCGCGTGTCATGTATATAGGCACTGCTCTAACTCGGCTCTCTCACCACCGCGTGTCATGTATATAGGCACTGCTCTAACTCGGCTCTCTCACCACCGCGTGTCATGTATATAGGCACTGCTCTAACTCGGCTCTCTCACCACCGCGTGTCATGTGTATAGGCACTGCTCTAACTCGGCTCTCTCACCACCGCGTGTCATGTATATAGGCAGCTGCTCTAACTCGGCTCTCTCACCACCGCGTGTCATGTATATAGGCACTGCTACTCTAACTCGGCTCTCTCACTCACTCGCCACCGCGTGTCATGTATATAGGCACTGCTCTAAACTCGGCTCTCTCACCACTAGGTGTCATGTATATAGGCACTGCTCTAAACACGGCTCTCTCACCACTAGGTGTCATGTATATAGGCACATGCTCTAACACGGCTCTCTCACCACTAGGTGTCATGTATATAGGCACTGCTCTAACACGGCTCTCTCACCACTAGGTGTCAGTATATAGACACTGCTCTAACACGGCTCTCTCACCACTAGGTGTCATGTATATAGGCACTGCTCTAACACGGCTCTCTCACCACTAGGTGTCATGTATATAGGCACTGCTCTAACACGGCTCTCTCACCACTAGGTGTCAGTATATAGGCACTGCTCTAACACGGCTCTCTCACCACTAGGTGTCATGTATATAGGCACTGCTCTAACTCGGCTCTCTCACCACTAGGTGTCATGTACGAAGGCACTGCTCTAACTCGGCTCTCTCACCACCGCGTGTCATGTATATAGGCACTGCTCTAACTCGGCTCTCCTCACCACCGCGTGTCATGTGTATAGGCACTGCTCTAACTCGGCTCTCTCACCACCGCGTGTCATGTATATAGGCACTGCTCTAACTCGGCTCTCTCACCACCGCGTGTCATGTATATAGGCACTGCTCTAACTCGGCTCTCTCACCACCGCGTGTCATGTATATAGGCACTGCTCTAACTCGGCTCTCTCACCACCGCGTGTCATGTATATAGGCACTGCTCTAACTCGGCTCTCTCACCACCGCGTGTCATGTATATAGGCACTGCTCTAACTCGGCTCTCTCACCACCGCGTGTCATGTATATAGGCACTGCTCTAACTCGGCTCTCTCTAACGTGTCATGTATATAGGCACTGCTCTAACTCGGCTCTCTCACCACCGCGTGTCATGTATATAGGCACTGCTCTAACTCGGCTCTCTCACCACTAGGTGTCATGTATATAGGCACTGCTCTAACACGGCTCTCTCACCACTAGGTGTCATGTATATAGGCACTGCTCTAACACGGCTCTCTCACCACTAGGTGTCATGTATATAGGCAACTGCTCTAGCCACATGGTTCTATCACCACTAGGTCGTATATAGGCACTGCTCTAACACGGCTCTCTCACCACCTAGGTGTCATGTATATAGGCACTGCTCTAACACGGCTCTCTCACCACTAGGTGTACCAGTATATAGGCACTGCTCTAACACGGCTCTCTCACCACTAGGCGTCATGTATATAACACTCACTGTATCTAGGTGTCATGTATATAATGCTGACGGCTCTCTCACCACTAAGTGTCATGTACTACAGGCACTGCTCTAACTCGGCTCTCTCACCACCGCGTGTCATGTATATAGGCACTGCTTCTAACTCGGCTCTACCTCACCACCTAAGATCGTGTCATGTGGTATAGGCACTGCTCTAAACTCGGAGGTCCCTTTTCTCACCACCTAGTAGTCTCAGGATCAGGTTTGGCTTGATGTTGAGTTGAGTAAAGGCAAACTGCTCTAACCTCGATCGCTCTCATCACCACCGCGTGTCATGTATCATGATGGCACTGTCTAACTCGGCTCTCTCACCACCGCGTGTCATGTATATAGGCACTGCTCTAACTCGGCTCTCTCACCACCGCGTGTCATGTGTATATGGCATGCCTTTTCCTGCTCTAACTCCGGCTCTCTCACCACCGCGTGTCATGTGTATAGGCACTGCTCTAACTCGTATGCTCTCTAGACAAACCACCGTACGTGTCATGTATATAGGCACTGCTCTAACTCGGCTCTCTCACCACCGCGTGTCATGTATATAGGCACTGCTCTAACTCGGCTCTCTCACCACCACGTGTCATGTGTATAGGCACTGCTCTTATATGGCTGGCTCACCACATGTCATGTCTAGTAGCTCTAGCCCATGGTTTGCCAGAAGTGGTCGTGGTGTGAGGGGCTAGACTTTTGAATCGGTTTCAAAGCATAAAATGGGTACCAGGAAAAATCTCGAGAAGTAGACGCGGTCGGCGTCATGTTGACAACATCACTTATCGAATGCTGACTGGTCTATAAAATAAGGTCATCACTACAAACCCAATATAGCTTTCACAGCGTGGTATCTAATTAATATCTTTACTTACTTGTATGCTTTACCCTCATCCCTTCTAAGATCGCTTTTTTTCTTTGGTTGTCGGGGGGGCCTTGTTGGAAACAGTTCTTTCAGTTTCTCTTTATTGTGACCAGTAGTGGTCAGATCCAATCTCTGGTCCTTGATATCTGATCTATCACAAACTTGAACAAACTTTTCCTAACTATGGCGTAGTCAATGCTTCATTTTTCAAAACAAGGTTAACACATCTGAATGTATCCGCATGTATGTGACGGAATGTTTGTAACGAACTTATGCAGAATCTGAAAGCTTCTTTAAAAAAAAAAAAAATCTTCACCAAAGCCCGACAACTCCGCTTGTTAAATCATTTTCTAGTGTGGCGTTTAGATGTCCTAGGAGGTTGATTTAATGACACTATGGTTTTTAAGAAACCGAAATCGGTGTTGTGTGATGTTTACTCACTCATTAGAATTTCGCCCGCACACAATGACAAAATAAGCAGTGCGGTATAGAGATTAACAGATCTACTGCATTATTCAAAGTTGAGATGAATTAATCCGTTACACTTGAATTGACAGTTACAATTGATGGGGTATATAACGGCGGTAGTTTGAAAAGATACGTCCGAATCTGTGATTGTGACCTATATCTTGGTTTTCAGGCAGAGCCAAGACGGAATTTTGCTTTGAGAGTCCCCTAAAAATTTGAAACTTTCCTGAGCCTTACAATAACATAGGCATCATCAGCTTTAAGATCCGTCGGTTTTCTCTCTTAAGTTTAAGGCAAACAGAGTGATTGGCCATGCCTTTGCAAGTGGATCTTGCGGCCCATCGGCCGTCTGCTCCAGACTAAACGCACAATTGATAATAATTAAATAATAATACTAATAATATTAAAATAATAATAATAATAATAATAATAATAATAATAATAATAATAATAATAATAATAATAATAATATTAGTAAGGTTAGGGATCAAGAGAAAGAGAGGTTCTTTACCTCTAGATGACCCCATCTTGGGGACTCCGAGTTTTTTTTTTGGGGGGGGGGGGGCAGGGGGGTTCCCGGGAAAGTCTAATATTATAGGAGAGTGTTAGTCTGTGTTCATTTCACACCATAATATCCATTTACAACTGGACTTTCCCATGAACTCCCCACATAATTTTGGAGTCTCCAATATTGGGTGAATTAAAAGAAAAATACTGAAGGAGAGGAAGAATAAGAGAAGAAAAGAACTCAGAAGAATATCTCGGCTATAGACACAGCGGAGGCCCCGCGCGTAGGGATAACCACCACATTTCAATGAAGGAAGATGTCTACCTTCACTTTGACTCCTTACAATTTGTGTTAATCAGCACCTTTCAGTTACTTCCCTGAGCCAAGCGCTTCCCGTTATGCGACACTGTGTGTGGCAACTGAGCGAAAAAAATCCAATTCGCCTGACTTCCTAGAGACTGCATTCTGGTTGTATCATTTATAATGGCCACCTTGACTCTGTCTTTATTCTTGTTCGTTCTTGTTTTTATCTGTTCGCATGTCATTAAATATTCTCAGTCATAAAGCTCATTAAATAAATAAACTGTGTTGTATTATTTCCTTGGCAGCAATATTGCTATCCTCACAGAAATTTGTTCAAATGCAGACTCGACACACACCTTGTGTTTTGACATGAACGTATCATGGAGTCTCAGTCACGAGACTTACAAAAGTGTCTTTGAGAGTAATCTGTCCTTGTATACAAACTACACCAGCGGATCTTTTAGACATTGTGACCTCGAGGAAGATCTCAACAAGGTACTGTACGCAATTTCTGGCTTCAAATGCTAAATGTCTTTCCAAACCTTTTCAAATACATCTGTATCATTTACAGATTTGATAGAAATTGCACTTCAAAAAATCATCATTTTTGATTTTCTAAATCATAATTATATTGCCATGTATTTTAGACATAACTATATTTCACAAACGGGAAGAATATGTGTATAAAAGTGCTGCATGATGCGAGTTTGCTTCATTTATCCAAACATTACGACAAAGCTTTTAACTTTCTGTAAAAGGGTGTTGCGTTAAGTAAATCGATTTGATTGCGCCAGGTTTACTTTATCTCACCCGGTCACACTCGAGATCGACTGGCCGCATGCAATGAATGTCACACAAAGCGCGAACTTCTTTTCTTCAGTCAGAAATATGAATCTTCGAGAAGAAAATGCAGTTGTGAACAGAATGGCGCCGTCAGAAAACAGACCCACGAAAAAACAGACACCTTCTCCCCCTTCCATCTCACCTTAGCCCATGTCATTAGGTTTTTATAATTTACAGTTGCACAGGTGCTGCTGTTTTCTTAAACTGGCGAATTTCTCTGATCTTTGTTTGACTAACGATTTCTGTTGCCCTTAAAATAGAATATACAGTAACTGACACAGTTGTGGAGATTGTTCGGAAATCATTGTACACGTGCAGCGAGGCCTGGCGATTTTGATAGCCTCTCTCGCATTCCAGGCACAATGACAAATCCGCAATTTAAAAGAGACTAATGCTGGAGATGACCATCCGAGAGTTAAGCGCCCCATAAAATGCGTGCGCGTTCATGTTTAAAAAAGTTTCCCTTACACAGTTTACTTAAGTTAGTTTAAGCATGCTGATTGTCAGGTTTTTGTTTTTTTTATGTGCCACAAATAAGGTAAAATAAAAACTAGAGTTTGTTTTTTACATTAAAATAAAATTGTTACAAGGACTTGATTTTAACGGTTGCGTCCCAGATTTCCACAATTTTCACAGAACCGATACTGAATTATACAGACTTTTGAAGTTGTGCAGAACTTTTTGAACGGACTATAGCAACTTGTCGTTAAGTACACATCACTGGAAGATGTTACTAATGAATGGTTCAAATCAGGGGAATCATGCAGTGGTGTGTTTTATCATCTGATCTGGTAAACAGCGAGGTGATTCCTAGAAACATCGAACATCAGGAAAACGCTAAAGCTTGAGACAACGTGTAAACACTCTCACGTTATGTGGATGGCACGTTGGCGTTAATGACTTAATGTTATAAACCTATTTTCATTATTCTTATATACCGGATTCTGTTCGGCTGCTGGTGATCTGGTAACAGACCTCTTAGCATTGATTTTAATATTGATATCAGCGTTGACCTTCAGTAAACAATGTTAAAACATTAAACGTAAAACGGTCTGATGAAATCACACAATCAACCAACAAACCTCCCCCCCCCCCCCCCTTTTTTTTTCCCATTTCGACCAGTACGTCCAGGGTCTACCGACGTCATAACGATGTGCATCAGGTACCTTAATGTTTTGCAAATTTTCTGTGACAGAAAGACACTAACAAACTGAACTGATCATCCCATCTCAAATGTGGTGGCCTAGAATATGGTAAAATCTCGCATTATACATCCTAGCGACAGTATCTAAAATGTGCTGTCTTTACCTACATGTGGATCAAAGGATTCTATAAATCAGTTTATCGAGGCGGTGGAGAAATGCTAAAAAAGGGATAATAATTAAACATGATGAAACTTTAATGCAGGTCAACACCCCAGGTGTAGAAATCTGAGGAGAAACGTTCTGCGAGTCCTTTGATGGTACAGTAGGAGGGTGGTGATGATGACACATTCCAGTGTGTAACAATCAGTCAGGGTAACAGTTTATTTGCACAACTACAGTGACTTCCGACAGCGAAAGTCGAGAAAGGAAGATAAGGAAAAACGAGTCACTGTATCCACATATTATTTTATGACAGTTATTAATATAATGAGAACAATGCCGTAAGTTCAATGATAATTACTGTTATTATAACCACGACTTCTCGTCATGATCTTCTCGGTCTGTCTTCGCCTGCGACAGCTTTGCACAAAGCACGATTTCCATAACCCATAATCATTTTCCAAGAGTCTTCAAACACTACCACTAAGGAAATGAAGGACGGAGTCCGAAATCGAACTCAAAATGTTTAAAGCAAAAAGCAAACGGCTTAACCCTTACGTCACGGAGACCCCACAAATGACACTGTGATATAACAGGGGTTGCCCACAAACTACAAGTAATTTATTCAATACCAATCCATATCATCCTGCAGGGAGTTGAAGGAACGGGCCTGGCTTTCATTATTTTCACACAAGCAATCAACGAGTTCGGATCCTCAGCCCCGTTCTGGTCAGTAGTCTTCTTCTTGATGCTCTTGTCTTTGGGTCTGGGCAGTGAATTCGGCACTATTGAAGGCGTGACAACGTCTCTCTACGACCTCGACATTTTCCCCTGGTTGAGAAAGAAATGGCTGGTGTCTGGTAAGTATAGTATAACAAAAATGTTAGATAAACATCCTTAAGAGGATCTCACAAACTAACCCTAGCATTTATTGGATGTTGTGTGGTTTTACTAGGCATTTGTTTCATTCTGTGTTCAATACAACATAAAATGTGAATAGACATTTCAGCGAAGAGAATGACAAAGACGCGCCTTTATCAACGGAATACTAAATACAACACAAACTGTGACTGGAAAATTAAACGGACAAAATAACATAGCTTTTAAAGAGTCAAGACCAACATGACAAAACAAAATATGTAATGACGTGGTGGCGGGGGAATATGGATATAAAGGGCTATATTACAAAACAAAAAACGCAAGAAAATGTTTAAAATGAAGAAAAAAAAAGGTGCATAAATATAAACAGATTAAATATAGAAAAATAAATAAAATTAAATATAACTGTGATGAATATTGATCATTTTAGGACTGAGAACTTCAAAACTGCAATTGAAACCACTTTGAGTAGCGGCTTATTTGGTCACTGCAGCAAGATTGTATAGATGTGACTTGGTGGTGTGAACTATTAAAATTGAGGATATTTTTTTTTTAAATCTCATTTGTTTCATTTTGTAATTGACCATTGTTTTCGGGATAGTGCGAGGTTCATAGTTTAAGTAACCTCCGATCGGTTTGCTGCCAAATTGATAGTAATTTACATGGAACCTAAATAGTTACGGATTGTGACAAATCAGTACTTTTATGAATTGTTCTGACTGCATTCTTTATATCTCAGCTGGACAGAATTATACAGCTATTAATTAAATCTTTATCGGATTTGGACTGGAGTAGATGCTACTTTCCAAGAGACGTTTAGGTTACTCGTAAATGTGGCTGTGGCTCATTGTATTCATAAAAAAGTACACTATTCCAATATAAATGCTATTTTTCTCAAACATCAGAAAGTGGCAACCGTTATAAACTGAAAAGACGCATGGAAGGAGGGATCATCATCATCATCAGGTGCCTTGCCGACTGGCGTGGGCGATCATGCCTCTCCATAATCTGCGATCTCCTGCAGCATATATCAGTTTGGGTGCCGACTCACCTCCATGCCATACAACAACTGTCAAGCATCTTCTCTTGTTGTCTTCCTCTATCCCTTTTTCCACAGATCTTTCCAGTGGTCACAACATGTTCTATTTTCCCTCTTCTCATAACATGGCCGACATCTGATGTCTGTGATAAGTTGTCTTTGGGCTCCCGCCTTTTTCAAAACCTCTTGGTTGCTCTTTTTGGCTGTCCAAGGTATTCTAAGCATTCTTCTGTAAAACCACATCTCTGAGGCTTCTAAAAATTGTTTGGCCTGCCTACCGATTGTCCAGGATTCACATCCATATGTTAAAACTGGATGTATGTAGCAAGCAAGAATTCTTTTTCTAACTCTCAATGACAAGGATATATTGCACAAGATGTTTTTCATTTTACAAAATGCAGTTTTTGCCTGAAGGAGGGATGGAGATTTAAAAAAAAACAACCCAATGAAGAGTCATCAGGGCCTGTTTAATGGCGTATGAACGTGTCAACCCTCCGACAGATACATGCTGTTGGAATTCTAAGATGCGAGGAAGCATAGTCGCCCACACCAGTCGGCAAGTCTCTTGAAGATAATGACTATTCTAATTTAAACCAAAAAAAAAAGATTGCACTGTTTGCATACTTAAGGTATCCTAAAAAAATTGAAATTGGAAAGGGGGAGGGGAAAGGGGGGGGGGGGAGAGTATCATTTTATTAAGGAAACATAACCACTGGCACTCTTGAGAGGGGGGGGGGGGTACTATTCAGGGGGACCAAGGTTACCATGACGCTGTTGTTGAATGCGGATGGATCGTTGACACGGGAACTGAGTGCTAACTTACCTTTTTTTTTTCAGTACCGATCGTATTGCTTTTACATGATACTTGTATCTCTTTCTATTGGCGTTTTCATACACAGCATGCTTTATTGGCAGGTATCTTGTGTTCCATGTGCTGCCTTATCGGCCTGCTGTTTGTACTGGGCAGTGGATCTTACTGGGTGGCCTTATTTGACACGTTTGCCGGGTCCTTCCCTCTCATCTTTATCGCACTCTGTGAATGTGTCTCTGTTGGCTGGGTGTTTGGAGTCAACAGGTCAGTAGCTGCTCACACTTCATCTTTCAGTTCTTCTTTAGCACATGGATTTTAGAATTACACGCTTTATAAATTAGGAAACATAACTAGAAACCAGAAAATAGAGAACCCAAGTAGCTGTATATGTTGATATCTGACACCTAGAACACTTTATTCTTGGACCACCTGCTACGTCTGAAGAACCAATACAAAAAAAAAAAAAAAAAAAAAAAAAAAAAAATAATAATTGAAGCTAACTAGATCTGTAAATCAGAAACAAGAACTGAATTCAAAGAAAGAAAAGAGGAAAACACATTGAAGCAAAATATATACACCTTTAATATAAATATAGAAAACAGAAGCCATAGTAGCCACA